CAGGGGAAAAAAAGAAATTACAGTCTAAGGAGGGCAGTAACGGCTTTCCATCTTGAATATGAGGCTGCTGGGATGATTTCACAGACATATGCTGATGATGGAATTATGTGTGATTTTTTTTCCTCTTTAATTTCCACTTAATTCCTTTTCAATAATATTGCTATAATAAATGCTATTTAAAATACCTATGTGCCCTTCTCATAATGGTCCTTGCTCATTCAGAGAATGGTAATTTGATTTCCTACTGGTTGCTGTAATTGTGCCACATTCAATCGATGTAATGTCGGAATGCTGGAGCTGGGGATAGGAGGGCCAGAGCCAGTCCAGCTTTATTCTAGTTAGGAGTGTCATACTTTTGTCCTAATTTATAAAAGCAGCGTATCAGAGACCTTTACAGTGTGCCCTGTGGTCACATTACAGGTGGTGAGTGATCTTGAGAGATGTAGGAACCTGACAGGGGAATCTAAATCACAATAAGTTTGTACTTGGGGAGGGGCAGAAGGTGAGGGTTAATGTAACTGCCCCAACTGTGCTTAGGTACTGAAGAAGACCTGGAATTCTATGTCAGGAAATGTGGTGACATTCTTGGAGTAACCAATAAACTACCAAAGGACCAACAAGATGCCAAACATATCCTTGAGCACATCTTCTTCCAAGTGGTGGAGTTCAAGAAATTGAACCAGGTATGAGTCTAGAAGGCCCACTAATGTGGGAGTCCTTCGAGTGTCAGTATCATCCATAAACTGAGTTTTATGCCATTCATTCATTCTGCAAGTATTAAGTAGCTACTAAGTGAACATAATCCCAGTACATCACATATTATGCTGGATAAGTGCTATGCTATTAAAAAGCAGAGCAGCGTAAGGGGATCAGTGGGCTGAACGTGGCAGTATTAGATAGGGTGGCTGGGGTAGGTCTTACCACAACGCTGATACTGGAGCAAAGACGTGAAAGTGTTGAAGGATTTAGCCATGCAGATAGCGGGGGATGAGAGTCCCAGGCAGAGGGAAGACCTCCGCAAACTCCCTATGGCTGGGCTTTGCCTGGCAGGTGTGAGGAACAATGGTGGTGCCAGTGTGGCTAGAGAGAACTGAGCAAAGGCTAGAGCAGGACGGGAGGTCAGCACTTTATGGTAGAAACCATCTGTCTCTGGACTAAGGACCAAGACTTTGAAATTATAGCTGGCCTTCATTTTTATACCTTGACAGGATTTCTAACATTAAATGCCAACCACTGTTGTTAAGTGGGCATTCAGACACTATTGCTGGAAGAATAAATTGGTCCCACCTTTCTTGAGGTATTTTTTATAATATCATTCAAAAGCCCTAAAAATGTATATACTTTTGACCCAGCAATTCTGATCCTCAGAATTTGTCTTAATAATCTTGAATATATATAGATTTACACCTGGATTCTCAGCGCAGCAGCACTTAATTTAAAAAAAATTTATTTTTATTGCCCTGACCGGTTTGGCTCAGTGGATAGAGCATCGACCTGTGGACTGAAAGGTCCCTGGTTCAATTCGAGGCAAGGGCATGTACCTTGGTTGCGGGCACATCCCCAGTGAGGGGTGTGCGGGAGGCAGCTGATTGATGTTTCTCTCTCATCGATGTTTCTAACTCTATCCCTCTCTTCCTCTCTGTAAAAAACCAAAAAATATATTTAAATACACACATATATATATATATATATTGATTGATTTTGAGAGAAAGAGAGGAAGGGAGAGGGAGAGAAACATCGATGTGAGAGCAGAACATTGGCTGCCTCCTGCTCACCCCCTGCCAGTTTTGGAGCCCGAAACCTAGACATATGCCCTGACTGGAATTGAACCAGCAACTTCTCGGTGCACGGAACGATGCTCAACCACACTGGCCAGGGCACAGCACTGTTTTAATAGAATAAAATAATCAGTGGGCAAGAATGAAAATCATTATTAGTAGGTTGTTCCTAGGGTGATCCATAACATTTAAAATGTTTGAAGAGTTTTAGGACTTAGGGAGACATTCATGATCCAGTAAATGGGGTCCAGGAGGGTTATAAAGCAGTATAGTTTGTTTTTCTCCATATATATAGTTAGGAACTTAGATGCTGAGTGGAAAGACTCGTCAGGGTCTGAGGCTTCAGTGGCAGTGGCTGGCACTGCTGGGCACTCATACTGCACACCTCGTATGTGCCAGGCACAGTGCTGGATGTTGGGCTGGCAGAGAGCAGGATGAGTGCAGTCCTTGCCGTCTCTGACCTGTGTAGTGGGGCAGATGGAATATGTGGGCATTTACAATGCTCTGAAATAAATGACATCCAGAGGTGAGTTGTTGATATAGCTGCTCAGCACTGAAACGTGGGATGGGAGCTCAGGTAGATTCCCAACAGTACTTACCCTGGTGGCAAGGCAGGGACAGGCCCCAAGGCCAACTCTGATGGTGCTCTTAGCATCAGCACCTTCAATGGTATTTGCTCCCTACTTATCATGGTGGGTGATGGGCAGTGGTCAAAAGCCCTGTCCTGGTAGTGACAACTTGACTCTTGGGTTTAAAGCCAGAGATAACCTACTGGTATGTGTCCCAATTAAGATGTTTCAGAATCTTTAATCAAAGTCCAAAACACTAAAGATCACATTTCAGTCTTTGGCCTGAAATACTAAAATATATGTCTTATTCCCTCATCCAGGAACATGACATTGATACAAATGAAACTGCATTCCAGGACCATTTCTGAGGACCAAGCCTCTTGAAACATTTTCTGCCTCCTTATTTGTAAACGGTTTTTCAATTGTTCCTCAATCCTTTATCAAAATTGTCCATCTACTCTTCTATGAACTGTGGAAGAGTTGTGTATCTTCTGTAGTGCCAGATAGGTATAACATTTCTAACTTAGAAAACCCTTATGTAAGATATGTTCCATTTTTAAAATCAAATGATTAAATCTGTACTTTTATAGTTTATGAAATAGTCTTGCATTGAGTCTTGCATTGAAGTCTTTTCTTTCAACTCCAGTCCTGGATTTATCTTTATTTAAAAATATTATTGATTTCAGAGAGGGTGAGAAACATCAATGCTGAGAGAATCATTCATTGATTAGCTGCCTCCTGCACTCCCTCTACTGAAGATAGAGCCTGCAACCCGGGCATGTGCCCTGACTGGGAATCAAACCGTGACCCCCTGGTTCATAGGTGGACATTCTGAGCCATGCTGGCTGGCTCTTTTTTAAAAAAATGTTTTTATTGATTTTCTTATCTTTCTTTTCTTTTTTTGGGGGGGGGGAGAAAGAAAGGGAGAGGGAGAGAAACATTGATCGGCTGCCTCCTGTATGCACTGGGGATTGAGTCAGCAACCTGGGCACGCACCCTGAGAATTAAACCAGCAACCTTGGTGGTGCATGGGTCGATACTCAACCACTGAGACACATTGGCTGGGCCAGATGGGCAAGATTTTGATCCTTACGGCTTGGTGGAAGTATTGGAAGATGGGGGTTCTGAAGGGTGAACTGTTTTGAACATAAGATTCCAATTATGATGATAATATGAATTAATATAGCCAGTAAATAGCTGGAAATTCCTAACTGGGGCTTAGAAAAAATAGAGTCTCAAGATCTGAGTTCACATGGAGTTGATAATTGAAGCTATGAGAATAGTCTGTCCGGGAATTAACATTTTTGGAAATCTAAAAACCTTGGGAAGAAAGGTTCAAGCCACATCCAGAATTTCAAGTAATTCAGTCATGTTCAAGCCCTGTTCATAGACTTCCATTCTCACCCTCCAGCCCTAGTGCAGGTCTGTCAGTGTAGCCAAATAGGAACAAAGTGCTGGGGAAGGGGGGCCCCTTGGCTCAGAGGGCACAATCTGGGAGCCGCTGAGACAAGCCGCTCTACAACAGCAGGGGAGTGTTGTGGAAAGGTAGTATTTACCACACATTAAAAAAAATGTACTCAATGATCACCTCCCAACCCGTATGCTCTTACAGTGTGGGTTTGACACTTTTGCCATCAAGAGGTGCGGTTTTGTTTCCTCCCTCTTAATCTGGCACTCCGGTGGAAGTGACACACATCGTCTTCTAAGGCTGTACAGCTTCTGCCTGGTTCTTTAGAGCCACAGGCCTCCATGCAAGAAATAGGCCACTTGGGATAGACTACCTAGGTGGGCCTCCCAATGCCTCCGGCCCCAGCATCAAGTCTCCGTAGTCTTGGAGTTGTCCTGAAGCCCCAGACATCATGGAGTGGAGACAAGCTGTCTTTGCTGTGACCTTTGTGAATTCCTGACCCACAGAATCCATAGACATAAAATGGCAGTTTTAAGCTATTAATTTGGAGTAATTTGTTATGCAGCAATAGATAACTAAACATGTACCAAGGAACGTTTTGGATCTATTTGAATCTAATCCAAAACTTCACTTTCCAGAGGGGACAGAGGCCTGGGAGCAAATTAGCATTGACAGCCTGCCTACTAACCCGGAGCTTCTCCCACCCACCTCTCCTAACTGGAGATGCTTTGAGGACCAAGGCCTGTCCAGCCATGGGGCAGCTGGCGTTTTCCTTTCATCTATGGGCGACTTGTGGCACAGAGTTTTCCCCCAACTTCTTATGAAAAAATTGAAACACCCAGAAAAGTGGAAAGAATAGTACAAAAAACGCCAGGACACACCACCTATTTTTAGAAATTAACATACCACTATGTATGCTTTATGCATGTTAGTTTTTGTTACTGAACACTTGAAATTAAATTTCAGATATAATACTTCACCTTAGTATACTTTACGTTTAAAAATAATGTTTTTGTTGATTTCAGACAGAGGAAAGGAGAGGGAGAGGGGGATAGAAACAGCAATGAAAATCATTGATCAGCTGCCTCCTGCATGCTCCCTACTGGGGATGGAGCCTGCAACCCCAGCATGTGCCTTTGACCGGAACTGAAGCGGGACCCTTCAGTCCGCAGGCCCATGCTGTATCCACTGAGCCAAACCAGCTAGGGCATGTGTGTGAACTTTTAGATAAAAAAGTTAACTGACTTGAACAAGTGTTTCAATTTTATTCTTTAAAAAGACCACACAAAAAAACCCCACCAAAACCCCACCACAAACAAAAAGTGTTAGCACCAGTCCTAGCAGATAACAGCATAACAATAACTACTGGAGATTTTACTTGTTGAACTCTAATACCTCTCTGATCAGAGAAACATTAGTGTCAAAACGAGGAGGAAACACAAGAAAGGATATGTGTCGGTGACAAAACCTCTCCTCTCCCCATGAGCAAGGAGGAACATGTGTGGTATCTTGTGATTCATAGACTTACTATGGCTCTAAGTTACTTCTTACTTACAAAACCAAATATTGTAAGTTTTAAACTGTTCTGTAAAAGGTTCTAAGGCTGTATGCATGCCTTAATGAAATTTAATTTTAAAAAATTAGAAAAAAAATTTAGGTCATACCTGAAAACGGACTAACGGATGAAGAGAAAGAATTTCATCCCCGTCCCCCTTTCTCCAGCCCATGTTATCAACTTCTTCCGCTGCCTTTAAGAGACAATAATAAATACACACTTGTAAGAAAATTCTTGCTTACACCAAACTTTAACAGGAAGCCTACTCAGGTTTCATCCAAGGCTGCCTGCAGCCCACAACCTAATCCAGGAAGGAAATGAACTCCCTAGGAAGTGCGAAAGGTGACAAATAGCGCGAAGGACACCTGCGGGGGTAGGAGCCCGCCCAGGAGCTGACTCGCGGGAGTCGTCGGGGACGGCTCGGCTCCGGGCAGCACGGGGTCCACACGGCTCGGCTCCGGGCAGCATGGGGTCCACTGGGCTCTGGGCCAGGCTAGGGACGACGGCTGACCGCGAAGTCCCGCGACGCCACAAGGTCGGAGGCCGGCGGTGCACCCGCCCGCTCCCTCTCAGCCCCGGGCCTCTGCCTCCGCCCGACCTCCAACGGCAGGCGCAGGGGAGGCTGCCCAGCCACGGTGGCCCCGCGAGTGCGGGGCAGGCGGGATCGCCCGGGAAGCTGCAGAGCTCGGGGAGATGGCCGGAACCCGGAGGCTCCCAGCGGAACCGAGCGCAGGCGCCCCCTGGTGACGTCAGGCGGCGAGACTCCCGCGATGCCTCGCGCGGCGCCAGGGTCCGAGCGCGCGCGGCTGAGGGTCGCTTTGTCAGCGGGGGCGTGGGACCCGCAGTCGGACGCGCCTGGGTCTCGCTCTGGGGCAGGCCGCGTCACGGTCCCGGGTCCGAGAGGCGGAGAGAGACCGAAGATGCACCTGGGCGTGTGCTGCGTGCAGAGCAGCTTCCTGGACCTCCAAGGACAGCATGAGAGCGGCGGGATTGCCCTAAGAATAAGCTGGAGAGTCACAAACATAATTAAAAGTAATACAGCACTATGTACCAGGGACTGCGTTTACACATGTTTATGTAATGCTATTCGACCCTCAAAGTAGGTGCCAGTGCGGTGGTTAGGAGCACAGACACTAGAACCAGGCAGCCCAGCTACCAGCCGTCTGACCTGGGGGAGGCCTGCGTCTCCGTTTCCCCATCTGCCAAAAGAAGATAATTCTAATTCAACCTCCTAAGGTTGCTATGAGAATTACATGAATTAAAATGTGTAAAGCATACAGAGCAGCGGTAGGCGTATAATACAGTAAAAGCTATCTAAGTTTTTTGATGAATCCCTTTACAAATGAGAAAACAGGCACAGAGGAGTCAAGTAATTTGCCTGAGACCACACAGCTGAGTGAAGGAGCGGGGACTCAGACCTCAGGAAGTCCGCTTCAGAGCCTGCACTCATAATACTACTCCCTCGTGATGAAGAGGGGAAGTCCGTATGAATTACTTTACGGGGAAGTGGGTTCCCGAGCCCCGAATTAATGGGTGTGGAAGCGTCTAGCACAAAGGATGTCAGTGTTTCCCCCTGGCCTGTGTGGCCCAGTCTATCGTCCAGTACACCAGAAGGTGGTGGGTTCTATTCCCAGCGGGGCATAAAAGAAGATGTCTGTTTCTTCTGCCGTAGGAAATAAACCTGATGCTGGCGGGACTGTCCCCAGTGTCCGCAGTTTCTGGAAGAGGAGTCTGAGGCATAAGCAGGGACCGGAGCTTCCGCTGGGTCTTCCCAAGCTCCTGCTAATTTACTCTCCTTTCAGCATGCCTCCCAGGGAGCTGGGTGTGGACAGTATCGAAATGACAACTTAAAATGGAAATCCTTGCTAAGCCTCTAGGAATTTAAGCACATGGTAAACAGAATTGGACTCAACAGTTGAATTCTGGGCCTTGGAGATGCTGCTCCGAATTTAGGGACCACTTGGACCTCAGCATGCCCAGAGTTTTGTCAATGTAAGAAACATTCAAACCTGTAGAGAATTTTTATGATTTTATTTGAACCAAACTAACAATTGCAGGAAGCAAAATCTCAAAGGATTGAGAAAATGCTCAAAACTGTGATTCTCCAGTTTTGCCATTTATTTATTTCTCACCCGAAGACACATTATTTACTGATTTTAGAGAAAGAGGGAGAGAAAAACATGGGAATCAAATGTGAAACCTTTGCACAGGATGATGCTCCAACCAACTGAGCCACCCGGCCAGGGCCGTTTTACCACTTATTTATGCATCATTATCAAAGGGGAAGATATACAGGAGTTAGATAGAATTCACTGGTGATAGATTAAGGAGGCGGGAGAGAGCAAAGCAGGGAAATCTCTGGGACTGATTGGATAAAAAGGAAAAGGAATAGACACTTTCACATTCATGGGTATAGGATAGTCAACAGTCAACAATTCATATGATAAAATAACAATGAGGGGATCCGGGTCTCTGCTTTAGTGGGTGGTTGTGCACTGTGGGGGGAAGCTCAGGGGGAAAAAAGGAAATTAACTTGACATTGTGAAGGTATGTTATTGTAGATGCAAGAAGACAACCGGCAGGCCCAGTTCAGTTGCAGACTGACCTTTGTTAGGGAGAAACACTGCCCTAGGACATGACTACTCCCATGAACTTTTGTAGTTGGAAAGTTTCCACTTCAGACCATCCTATGCGGTTACTTTCCGTTTCGAGTTTGTCAGGCCGCCCTGCAGGCCTCCTGAGCTTGTCAGGTTTAGAATATGGCCCCTTCCCACCCCCACACCCCTCATCACCACCACCACCGCCACGGTTCAAGGGGAAACGCTCAAGTCAACAAGCGGATTAAGGGCAGTGGACCCCAAGATCCACTAGGTGGGAGGGGCCGGAAGCGTTCCTAGCCCCCCGCAAAGGCGGACAAGTTTCTTTTGGGTGGGGGTGGTGATCGGGCAGAAGACTGAACCTGATTATGGAGTATTTTACCCAGAGGGGGAGAGGGCAGAGTTGTAAGTTCTGGAGAAGCTGGATCAGGTTTACATTTTAGGGGGCTCCCTCGGGCTGCCAGAGCCGCTGAGTTGGAGGTGAAGGGGAAGCAGGTGGGAAGGCGCAGCCCTGGTCC